TGCCCAAATTTTTGCTAATTCAGGGAGTTAGATAAAACTGGGCCTTGGGAAGCCAAAGTTAGTCTCAGGTTTCAGACTTAGCCTTATGTAAATTTTGGGAGAGCACTTTCTAAGGGGAGTGCTGCCGAAATTTCTATAAAACCAAGGAATTAGTCAGTCATGGGCTGAGTCCAAATTTGGCTTGGTATAAATCTGGGTAATCCCCGATTTCAAAGGGGATGCTGCCCAAAATTCTACTAATTCAGGGAGTTAGACAAAATTTGACTTTCCAGAGTTATAGATTACTCCTGTTTTTTATATCCGAGCTTATATAAATTATGAAAAGACACTTTTCCTACGGGAAGCATTGCCGAAATTTTCTTAATTAGAGGAGTTAGATTATATTTTGAGAGGTGGCGATTCTGGCAATCCACCCTGAATAGGGGAGATTCAGCCATTAGTCTACCTTTGCTTGGGCACTAGCTTAGAGGCAGATTTGAACTTAGTTGGCAGGGAGCTTTGAGTGAAAATTTGCTGTGGAGGTTTATCCCCCATATGCTGATGATTTAGCCTGGGCATTTGACCTATCTTGTGTTACAGGTCCTTTAGGGTGTCTGATTCAAGATCAAGACTAGACTCAGCTTGATCCCCTGAGGATCACCTTCTGTTATCACTGATAGCAGGTCGGTTGCCGATTCGTCGGTCTCCAACTCAATTCCAACTCACTCTCTACACTCAACCTAAAAGGTTTTAGCCCTGGTGGTTTTACTGTTTGTTAAGGCTTTCACCCGGACTTTTATTGAATGGTCATTTAACAAAGGTGCTGAGTATTTAATTCAGGTTGGTTGGATCGGCGGTTGGGGCTTGTATGGCTAAAGCGAAGGGGTATGAGCATTGAGAATGGTCGGGGTTGACTCCGTGTAGTGCGTGTAGTCCTGTGAGAAATGATCTTCGCATTTCTATTTTTCTTATGCATGTATACGTGGGTATACCTATGATGAGTGCTCGAGAGACCTAAGAGGCCATGTTAAAACTCGGTTAAAGGTTGAGGTCGAGGGGCGTAGGGGAGACCCTCTCGTCTGCGTATTTGCGTCTTGGGGCTTTCATAGTCGAAGGTTGGTCCTGAGCCGGGATTCAAGATCCTTATCCAGGACATCCCAAGCCCTAGGCTCTGCAGGGAAGGGGTTTCCCCTCGCACAGAGCCTAATTACTTTGGCCGGTGAGACACCCCGCCTTGAAGGCGGAAATGTGGCGGGGGCTGAGCGGCGCGTCCTTCAGCCGTTCAATATCGTGAGGGGTGACCCCTCGCAACGTGTTCCTTCAGCCATTCAATATCGTGAGGCCGGAGCCGCGATTACCACGTATGATTGACATCGGTAGTTGGCATAGAATTGGCCTGCGGCCGCTCAGCTTTATGTTAGAATCCCGCCGCGACGCCTCGCCGCCCCAGGGCCTAAACGTTATGGGATCGCCGGGCTTGCACGTAGGGGCAGTGCTTGGGATTACTATAGGCCGCCGACACCACCCATAGAGGGGAAGGGTGCTCCAAGGTCACAAGTCCTTTTAAGAGCCAGGGGACCTTTGCCCTATTCCCTCTTTTTGGTTTCGTGCGTGCTTTGTTTGTTTTTTTTAGAAATTTTTATGGTTGGACGTTGTAGTCCGTGACAGCTGTCAAAGTCAAACCCCTTGACTTTCGCCTAGGCCCGGGAAGGACTTACCCCTAGGGCCGCGAGAGATGACTACCACCACAGGCATGGGCCTGTGTACCGCCCACTCTGCATAAGGGTGCAGAAGAGGGTGTGTGGTCTCCAACCGCGCATGACGGTTGTCTGGCGTCGAGAGATTAACCCTCAAGGCGCGTGTCAGCCGACACTTGAGTGTCAAATACGACCCTTGAGATTAACGAGGACTGCGTGAGTATAGGTACTACATAGTACACCATCATCACGACTGCTTGCGCGCATTTGCATTGCAAGTCGATATGAGGTAGCCTCGTGTCCGCGCGGTTTTATATCGGGTCTCGCGCGCGACGCCTATCCGATTTCCAAGTCGGAAAAGTTATGGGTTGGGTACTGAGGGGCTAGGAGCGTTATCACGTTGTTCGTGTCGTGCTGTCTTGCGTGTGTACGTGGGCGTGTGTTTTTTATTTTATATTTGTTAAGAGTGATGTGCGTTATCGTGTCGTTTCGTACGTGTGCGTGTATGTATTTTGTTATTTCCGTGTTGTTAGAGTGGTGTGCGCGTGGTGTGTGGGATGCGTCCTAGTCGACTGACGACGAGTTGCGCTTGGGACCTCAGCCCCCCGAGATGTCGGTTCGCGTGCGGGTCCAATAGGCGTAGTACCGCGCGTACCCCCTATGCTACAGGGAACGAGAAACACTCTCGGCTGGTCCACCTCTGCGATTGCAGTCGATCAACTTTCGTATTGTGGACTGGTAGCTCGGCGGGGATACACCCACCGATGGGAGGTGACAGCTCCAGTAAGGTGGAGGTAAGTTGTGCCTCGCGTAGGCCCTATCCTGTCGTAGGGGCTCGCGAGAGGTATGGCTGGCGCACTCGGCCGGAGCGGCCTAATGAAGCTCCATTTGCGTGTTCGTGTCGAGGTTGGTCCAACTCCTGCGTGACGCGGCCGAGAGGGTCCCGCACTGCCGCGCGCAGTGCTGGACCGATGCGCTCGACACCGCCCCTGTCCCGAACCTGACAGTTTCAGTGCAATTCGGTGCAAAATTCATCGAAAATAACACCCCTGGTTAACCACGTGTGTGACGGGAAAGACGGTTAACGGAGGCCCAAATATACGCAGTTTTCGTTGGCAATTGCGGCGTGAATTTCATCAAAAGTTTTAAAAACAAACGATATGAGACCATAGTGCAAACATTAAAAAAGGTCACAGGCAAAAAAAACGGAAAAAAAAAGAAAAAAACACTATGAAACCCTAACACAAAGACAATGTCCGAGTCAAAATGAAGCGTCCAACGAATCCAACAAAATGCCAACTTTTTCATTATTGATCAAAACATGTCAAAACTGCACACATGATGTATCCTAAAACACATATATATCACACAAAAAGAAAAAAAAGAAAAAAAAGCAAAAAATCAGCACAATATGACAGTTTCAGTGCAAGTCGGTGCAAAATTCGTCGAAAATAACAACCCTGGTTAACCACGTGTGGAATGGCGGGAAAGATGGTTAACGGGGGCCCAAATATTCGCTGTTTTCGGCGGCGCAGTATCTACGTCATGGTGAAATGGGGCAGGCTTGAAACGATCATGCCGCCATAGCCAAGACCATGGTTGTTGCTTTCACCGTGGTTACTTGCGTCATGGCGGCGCGAGAACCACTTGACGGCCGACAGGTTCACCGTGGTCGAACTTTGTCGGCGACGCTAGGTCCCGAGTGCTGCTACCGGTGCCGTGAGCGGCGCCAGGTTTATTCTTTTCAACCTGAGTTATCCCGGCAGCATCAACCTGTTAGCTTATGCGATTCACTTCCAGTTCCACTAAATGCAGAGAGAAATCAAGACTACTCGAGGATACAAGTTGGTAAACCATAAGGGCGACCTTAGACACTTCTCGGTTGGTAAACCATCCCACCTAAGGGCCTCCTTAGACACTCCTCGGGGACTCGACTCCAATGATTTCGTCGTCGTTCCACCTATCCTCGAAACGTATTTTCGAAAAACAAATGTGAAAACAGTTCGAGTACAAATCCTCGGGCTCCGAGGATTTCCCAAGCGAATCGTCCTCAGGTCCGGGGACCTCGTGAGGTCCTTTGGAACCCGAGGATCCGCGAATCACGGGTTGGCTGCGTGACGCTTTAAACCATCAGGGGACTTTTGTTGCCGGCCTCCGAGCCACTTGGGTCGGTACCCCTAAACGAATAAACAAAGAACAAGTGATGACGAGTTACGAGCGAAAGAGTAAGCGATCGAGGACAAGATTACCTACTGCAGATTAGCTACCGTCTTTAACTGAATACAACGTATCGTATATATTGTTGTATCGAGAGGGGAAGTCGCCCCACGTATACAGTTGTAATGACCACACATTCTAAATTTTTTTTTTTTTTTTACTGAACATTCTATTCGGGGGAAAACGGTAGAGAAGATGAAAAAAAAAAACAATAGAGCAAAAAGATAGAGAAGAAAGGAAAAAATAGCAAAACAGACACAAAGAGTTACATGCGGGAGAGAACAAGTGACAGAAAGAGAGGGAGCGAGGGAAAGTTAGCATTTTTTTTTTTTTGCGGATGATAATCATGAAAAACAAACATCAAGAAAAAAAAAACAAATCGAAATAAACTAAATAAATTTTAGAAAGAAAAGAAAAAGAAGGTCATGCAGGCAGTATTTGCAAAGCGATAAAAGATCTGCATATTAACAGTTAAGGGGTGTGCCAACAGAGAGAGAGAGAGAGAGAGAGAGAGAGAGAGAGAGAGAGAGAGTTTTTTTTTTTTTTTTTTTTTTTTTTNCTTTCAAGAATGTGCATGGGGTCCAAACGGTAAGGGTCCTTGGCCTCAACCTCAACTGTTGGACGTGAGCCTGGGCCTCAACCCACCCACCAAACCGAGTGGATGCAACTACCCAGCCTACCCGTTAGGTGCAGACGCTGGCTTGCTGCAACGAACACGCTGGGCATATATGGAGCCTTCAGTTTCAGTAACCACCTTGGGGCCCTGCTGTTCACAAACATGTCCAAAATGGGCCAACGTAGATATTTAGGCCCGCCCTTCTATTAGGGCGGGCACAACACATAGGGCCTGTGCAACATTGTCGGGGGCTCCGTTCCTTGCACATAGGTCACATGACCTAAAATTGACAGTCTCGGGATAGAAAGGTGAAGTCCTTGGACAGGTGAATAAAAAAACGTAGTTTTCGTTTGGATGGATGGTACATGACTTAAGCCAAACGCTTTTTAGTCACAAAAAGGATTCTCCAACACCCGTTTAGTTGCCCTGTAATTGTGTAAACCCAGAGGCCTACCATCTTCCATTGAGTCCAATAGAACGTATGAAATTGAGCGAAAATGACTGTACGATAGTGTATGGTCTATTTGGGTGAAGAGGATATCACATCTGCTACCGGTTGTGTAGAATGTATACACAAACCATTTTAACCATTATAGGTACGTCATGGTGGACCATGAAGGACTTAGACGGTATCACATCTGCTACCGGGTGTGTAGACCATAAACATGGAGAATCTTAACCATTATAGGTACGTCTTGGAGCATGAAGGATTTAGAGGGTATCACATCTGCTACCAGGTGTGTAGACCATATATGTGGAACAAACCATTTTAACCATTACAAGTACGTTCTCAAACTTGGAAGGATTTCCCGACAAGCCTCCGCTCGGCCTCCGCCCACCTCCGCTCGGCCTCCGCCACTTCCTGTTCGACCTTCGCCCACATTCGCCCACCTCCGCCCACCTCCCCTCCGTCTCCGCCCACCTCCCGTCCACCTCCTCTCGGCATCTCCTCTCTCTTTAATCCCCTCTTCCGCCAGTTCTCCTCCGCCTTCGCAACCTCCCGCCCGCCTCTTCCCGCCATCTCCTCCCACCATCTCCTCTCCGCCTCTGCCACCTCCTGTTCACCTCCTCCTGCCATCTTCTTTCTCTCTTTCCGTCCTGCCTCCTCCACTTCTCCTCCGCCTCCGTCACCTCTCGTCCGCCTCCTCCCACTATCTCCTCCCGCCGTTTCCTCTCCGCCTTTGCCACCTCCTATCCGCCTCCTCCAGCCATCTTCTCCCGCCGACCTCCTGTCCACCTTGGACGACCTTCTGTCCGCCTCCCTACCCCTTCCTTCCGCCATTGGGATCTCCCATCTCCACTTGCCCTCTTCCAACCTCGCGTCCGCCTCCTCCCACCATCCCGCTGTGTGACAACCTCCCCTAGGCCTCCGGCGGCGTCCTGTCCACCTCTACCCGCCTCTCCTCCGCCCGCTGCCTCCACCCACCACCCGTCTGCCTCCCCCCGCTCTCCTCTCTACCTCCTCACACCATCTCCTCTCCGCCTTGGCCACTTCTCTGCCCACCTCCCGTCCAACTCCTACCGTACGTTACCTCCACCCACCTCCACTCGACCTCCACCCGCTCCGCCCGCTATCTTCTCTCCGCACGACAAAGACGATTCCTTGGAGAGGGGAGGGAGGGGGGAAGGGAGGGAGGGGGGAAGGGAGGGGGGGGGGAAAAGAGAAGGAAGGGAGGGAAGGGAAAAGAAAGGGAGGGAGCTCAGGGAGGGGAACTTCAAGGGAGAAGGAAGGAAGAGAGAGAGAGAGAGAGAGAGAGAGAGAGAGAGAGAGAGCTGTTTTTTTTTTTGTTTCCCCCTTTCTTTTGAGTTCTACTTTCTATGCGTATTCTTGTGTTACCATGTTTTCTCCTCTCTACCTTTTCTTATGCTTTTTTGGTTAGGTTGTTGTGCCATGTGCAGTACATGACTAATGGCAGGAGTCTTTTACGAGCCTAAGTATGATCAGTCAGTATGTTTGAGCCTAAGTATGACCCGTCAGCATGATCCAAACTAAATGGGTGGCAACCCATTTTTTTTCTTAAAAAAAATAAAGAAAAAGAAAAGAAAGTGTCATTAGGATTTATGAGCGGCTCTTGAGGTAATTCAAAGTTAATCTCTATAACAAGGGTTTGTCAGACCTTTGATCCCCCTGTTACCCCAGAATCAGAACTCAGGTCTCTCTATCATCAATTGGTAGTCTGTTTCTGGTCTTTACGTCTCTACGCATGTGACCGGAATCTTTTTGTGTTTCCTCGTTTCTTGCGATCATTTTCTATGCAATCCTTTTTTGTGGTTGTGTTTATGTGTGTGACGGCAAGTGCGTCTAGATGTTGTGGAGAACCCTCCGCCCTGTTGATTACTGCTAAGCGAATACGGAAAAAAAAAAGAGAGAGAGAGAGAGAGAGAGAGAGAGAGAGAGAGAGAGAGAGAGAGAGAGAGAGAGAGAGAGAGGACTACACCTTTTTTTTTCCTTCCCCATTCATTCCAAGGTTTTGTTGTCTTGTAGGTGCCTTTGACCTCGCTTTTTGTGGCGGAGTACGCATGTGACCGCAATCGAGTTTGCATGCGGTCACAAAAGTTGAACCCTATGGACTTTGGTCTTCCCCCGAACTCAAGGCACCCTCATTTCATCGCACCTGGCCGGAAATATAGCTTGTAGATATTCATTATCAGGCTGCGTTATGTTCGAGGGAAAACGAAAGTACTCTTTGTGTGTGTGTGTGTGTGTGTGTGTGTGTGTGTGTGTGTGTGTGTGTGTGTGTGTGTGAATTTTTATTATTATTCGTTATGTTCGAGGAAAAACAAAAGTACTCGCCCGCACACTGACCGCACATCGACCGCACATCTGAGGCGAACTGGAACGTTGGGCAACAAAGAACAACGGATGGACGCTGTTTTCTACGACAAGAGGCCTTCTGTCTGCGTGTGGGTGGGCATGTTCCTCCGCGACCGCATCAACAAAAATCGAAGTGGTAACGAGTTGAGTGAAAAAGACACACTATCCAAAGGCCTACAGGTAGCTGATGAGTCGAGTGAAAAAGACACACTATCCAGAGGCCTACTCAGTTGGTTAGACACGCAAATGGCATTCAGTTCGGGAGGTTGTGGGTTTGAGCTCATGACCGCCTGCGGCGCATTTAGTGCCAACCAACTTCATACCCCTGATCGGTATTCGTAGGATTTTTTTTTTTTTTTTTTTTTTTTTTTCCCAAACACGGACCCAATGCCCAAGGCGTATATTATCAATATGCATTCGAAACGAGGCCGGGGTCCTCACAGTCTACCCAGAGGGCTGGGAGCATTACCCAGTTTCGCTTACGAGGTGGCACTGCACCCCGAGGGGACCAACCCCTGATCTTCAAACAGCATCCATGAATACAAGTCCTAAATAACAGCCCACCCCTAACACGGGGTAGGGGAGCCTTAGCTCCTTAAATCTCCGTGGCACTCCCTCCAAACCCAAAACCTTTTCAACTGCCCTCCTACTATGGAGACAAACCGAGCGCCCAGGTATTTATTCTACGCTAACCAACCATTCGTCCAATACCAACTTACCATCCTGAATCCTGACCAACTTCCCCAGGATTGTCCAAGTTTCTAAGAACCAGACCATGCCCACAATTTTCGGTTCTGTCGTTGATATCTTACGTCTCCAATCGACCCTGATGCTTTGTCCGATGTGTAGTTTCGCTGCCGCATTGATTGACTGATCCGACATGAACCTTCCTTCAAACACACCGTTGTTTCTTACTTCCCAATTGATCAAAAACAGGCATGCTCTGATGGACTGAGCAACATAACCCCAACCTTTGTCCAGAGCGAAGTCTTCTGGGACTCCGCCGAACAGGATCCAGCGGTCGTCCCAGGGGAAGGGTGGACCACTGATGCGGGCCGAGTAGGTGAGCCACCATGCCCAAATTATTCTTGACAGAGGGTAGGAAAGACACAGGTGTACTGTTGATTCAAATGGCCAGCGACACCTTTTGCATTCCAGTGAAACCTACCCCTTTCTACTAACCACACTGCAGAAGTTGTGGATAACAATAAGAGCAGCCACAATAACGCTGCTCTCTGCATTGGTAAGTTTTGTAGTTGTTCCCAGCAGTTAATGATCACATCCTCTGTTGTGGATACCTTACTCCATCGCCCCGCTGCCACCATGATAGGAGATCTAGTTGTTCTCTAAAGCTCGTATCCTCCTGTTGATGTGTAGTCAGCAGAGAGTGCAAACAAGTAACCGTTGTCCGTACCCGACCGTACCTAACTGTAACCGCCAGGTTACGGGCGGGTATGGGTACCCCTTTCGAAGGGGGAGTTGGGTATGGGCAGGCACAAACAAAAGGTGGTGGTTGTTATGGCGGGTACAGTTGCCCTTTCAAGAGATTATGGATGGGTAGGGGCAGGTAGGGGTAAGGGTAAAAAAAAACAAAACGACTATGGGCGGCCAGAAAATAAGATAGACGGGTATGGGCAGGTACGGGTGGCCAAAAACAAAAAGGGGTGGGTACGGGCGGGTAGAGGTTCCCATCGGGTAACCGTGGTATACCCAATGTGAGTCTTGTAGCCTTGCAGGCTTTGTATTTTTTGTCAAGCGTGACACTTTTCTCATATTCCAAATTTCTCGATTTCCCATTAAGCAAACATTTTTTTTTGCAAGGGTGAATTTCATATTTTATTTTATTTTATTTTTTGTTTTTCACATTGACAAACTATTTTCATACATGTGTAACCATGTGTATGTAATATTTGTGTGTTTGTGTGTGTGAGAGTGTAGGTATGTGCGATAGACCGAGGGTTGTTGCATTTGTAGATGCTACACAGATTGCATTGGCTACTGTAGCACCAGATGCATCCATAGCATCATCAGAGTGAACAAATATAATAATTGTTGTTGTCACGGTTGCGGCAGTAGCTGCAGAAATTGCCACATCTAAAAAAAAAAAAAAAAAATATTAATAATAATAAAAATTCTCACGTCAATTCTGTGACGTCTAGGGGTTGGGGCCGGTTGGGGCCGGTTAAGGACAATTGGGGGCAGTTAAAAAAAAAAAACGTTAGGGGCAATTAAGGACAGTTAGCGCAGTTAGGGGCAGTTAGGGTCAATTAGGGGCAGTTACGGGCGGTTAGGGGCAGTTAAGGGCAGTTAAGGGCAGTTAGGGACAGCTAGGGGCAGTTATGGGCAGTTAGGGTAGGGTAGGTGACAAGCACGGGTGGTCACGGGTGGGTATAGTTAAAAACAAATTGGGTAGGGTGGGGTATGGGTGGTTAACAAATAGTTTGCATTCAGGTGGCCATGGGTGGTCTTGAAAAAAAAAACATTATGGGTAGGTATGGCTAGTTATATGCTGAAGATGTTCAGGTAGAGTAGGTCGGGGTATATTTTTTTGTTTTTTTTTGCAGTTGGAGATGGGTAAAGGTCCGACAGACCAAGTATACAGTGGGTATGGGTGGTTGGTTTTCAAAGAGGGTGTGGTTAGGTCAGGTACAGGTATTCATAAAAATCCTGGTTGCGAACTCTGGTAGTCAGTGAGTCATGCTTCCTGTGGAAAATTCCTCGAGCCTGTCCAAGACCACGTTTTGGGGTCCAGTCTCAGTTGTATGATAGGAGCGTCATCTGCCCAGGCTGTGCACGACCATTCTCCTTCATTGTTACAAGCTTCTCTCACTCTAATCTGGGTCTGATTACCTAGTGACCTACAAGGTGTGAAAGTGTGCTTTCCAGTACAGTTTATAAGCTTGTTCGAGGATGCCAACTTGGTTCACTGTTGGAAAGTTCTGGGCCCATCGACATTAATCGAGATCAACTTTCAAACCGATTTCGATAGGTCTGTGTGCTCGTCTTGTTCTTGTACAGTGAACCATGTCCCCGGTGGCGAAACTCCTTTCGGGCTTATCAGGTGCTTCCACTCCGGGGGGAGAGCGGTCCTCCTGAGGACCGCTCTCTCTTCCACTTGGCCCAGCCGACCAAGTTTTACTTTGAGATTGTCCATCGTTACCCGTTGTTCTGTGAACTCATCCTAGAGATCTGACACTCTCAGTACTCCCTTTTCTGTCCATTGTCTACCAAATGCATATGGGTCACTTCCTGCGGAAAAAGTAAGTCCCTCATTGTCCCAAATAAACGGGTTGTCAAAAATCGGTTGCAATAGGATTTCTTCTTTTGTAGTTGGTGGGGTCCACTGACGCGGCCCAACTTTCTTCCAAGCCCTCAGTATATAAGACTAGAAGGGAGACGAGGTATGCTTGCGTAAATATGAGTCCATCATCATGCAAGTCCAGACATTCTTGGGTCTGGACAGGTTCCAATCCTTAGTTAGAATCGCCTCGGCCAAGCAGATCCAATGAAATTCCGAGGTGCTCTCAATAACTCTTATAATCCATTTGACC